TTTGAACTGCCTATTCCTGATTTAAACCATCTGCAGGCTCGACTTATAGACAAGATTCGTGAAATTAACAATACCCCGAGCATCTTAGAAAATGTCTTTAATTCTTTGAGGAACAGGTGTGAAAAGTGCTTGGAACAAGGAGGGGGACACTTTCAGCAGCTGCTTTAATTTATTGTTATAACAAGGAGGGGGACACTTTCCGCAGCTCCTTTAATTGTTTGTTATTGTTATCACGATTATTCTTTAAAATAAAGTTATATAGTCATTAACGTTATTGAAACTGACAGCTGCTATACAGCTCGTTGAGAAATGAGGTTAAGTTGGTCGCTATAAGCTACTCCCTACGTCCAATGTGTCAGAGCCAACTTCGACCACGTTTTTATTTGAACGCTCGTTACAAATGGACTATTGACATACCCCCGTTGCCACACTTAACAGACGAGTACTCACACCGCAATTTTCCGAAACATGAATTAAAATTTCCTCTTCTTCATCGATTGTGATAGATTTTGGAGTACCATGGTTACTTTTTGGTCGAAAAGATCCAGGCTCGCCTAAGCGGTGAAGAAAGATTTCTGAATATTTTATAATTATGTTGCAATCTATTTAGGTACAATTGTACATATCTTCGGGCCGCATGTTCATTAAAATTAGTCTGAGCAAAAACACAAATCATATCACGCATCTCACTGTCGGAAAAATTATTTGTCGCGGCATATTTTTATCACTAGCTAATAATTTTGCACGAATAATAAATCACATGCACGCAAAATATGTTTATATTTATTGACATGAAAATTTGATACAAGCATACTTAGAAAAGAAATAGCAGTATCAGCGCCTGAAAGAAAATCACCACAAAATACATTGAAACTTTTAAATGTAAATAACTCAGAAACCGATAAAGTTTTAGATTTTTAACTTTTTAAGCATAGTTCAACAGATAAAAAAAAATATGTTTTGAGTTAGATAAATAAAACGGTGACACTAGCGCCCTCTAGGAGCAATGTCAAAATAAGCTTCAAATTCGTAATTCTCACACCAAGAAACCCAACACCATCAATTTTCAAAGTCATGCTATCAAAATTTTCTCAATTATTGAGAAATTTCCGAATAAAATTTAAACCTTGAACAGCTTGTATTTCTTAAACCAGCGACATTTGTATAAGGAATGACGAGCTCAAACATAATATTTTAGTGTCTAATATACCAAGCTTACTGTTGACCCAATCTTTCTGACTCACCCTGTATACAGGATATTGTCGATATACTCCAGTAATATCTTGCAACATAAAACGGCTTTTCTCTCTTTGGTCAAATTCTGGAGGTACAGGGGACCATTACAAATACAATTTTGTAAAGAAAAAATCAAAAAGGGCAGTTCGAAAATGATTTAAAAATACACTTCTGCACGGTACTGGAAACTGGTCCACTGTAAAACCTGACCTCGCACAATACGACCGGTATGGCGGTGCAATAAAAACGGACAAAAACTTCGCAAAGAAAGAAATATGTAAATAGAATTTTATCGCGCCTATTTTATCTCGGCAAATTCAACTGCTTTTGCCTTTATTAATTAATAAAACTAACTAAAAACATATTGTAAACACCACAAATAACAGGTAAATATCGCAACGACGATTGCAAAATCCGAATTCAGTATTCGGAGTCGCTGAGGCACGTGGCGAATGACGCTAGAGACTACAGTTGTCCAGCTATGTAGTGGTTGAATGTACTATAACTTCAATATTTTTTTTCTCGGAAACTATAAGGATTTTACAAAAATTTTTTTTACGATATTTATTCCATTTCTCATGATGCATCTATTCCCAAACTTTTTTGGATAAGTTGCGAATCACCCTGTATGTACTATTGTCACTTTGACTATTGAAGCTATGTCGGTATTTAAAATATTAAAGTGAGAAAAATATATTATCTTCCTGAGCTACTCGCTTGGTTGCTGAGACGGTAAAGAGAGGTAAATCAACTCATTTTAACATTTTATTATATAAAATACACACATCTCTGAGGGATTACTTTTCATGTAGAGGGCAAAATGGTGAACTGGCTTTTGGCTACCGACTGGCTCTCAAAGTGGCTCCGGACTGGCCCCGATTGACCAAGTCTGCGGGAACAACGGAACTATTGGGAACAATGACCGAGTCAGTCCACCAATTTATAGAGAGTGTGAGTGAGGTGGACATAGTGCAACGGTCAGTTCAATATGCATACAATTTATGAAATAGGTTAAATGAATATTTGTACCGAAGGTATTTTTGTAAAAATCTACTAAAAAAATATGTGTCCAAATAAAGTAATGTCATATGTCCATACATCTAATTTTGAATATTACGCTTCCTCTCTCTAAAATACTTATAATTTACACTATTTTGAGAAATTCTGACGAATTTACTGACATTATTTTGATAGTGTTTCGTACGTATAAGTAAAAGACGTTATCATTCAGAAAACATGAAAAAACAGACATTTATAATTTTCGATGTTACTAAATAGTTTGAAAATGTATTGTATACTTTATACAAAGTGTCCGGAAAGGTCTTGTCAAAAATGAAGGGGTATACAGGGGAGCTCAAAATAGTTGTAGTAGTTGTAGCACTTGATAAAAAAAAATTGTGTCAAATCATCCAGCTCTTTTAATGGCTATCTACCGACAGGGTTTTAGTGTGGTTGAGAAATAACATAAAAAGTGTTTTATGTCTTGAATAGTCAGTGCTTCTTAATGCCTATGCCTTCAATTACAACTGATTTAACCGAAATGAAATAGTATCACTAAAATTTGACTGATTATTCCCATATGTCTCGAAAAATAATTTTTTTAATTTTTCCCCACTGAAATCTAGATATATCCTGAAATACGAAAGTGTTAGGTAACAATTCTAACTTAATTACATATTTTTAAGCATTACTTTTAAAAAAATGTTTTTGTTAATTTTATTGTAAACACATATTCAAAACTCACCAGTTGTTGGAAAATTCGACTTTTCCGTGAGTCATGTAAACGATAGGCTTATTTACATTTAAGCGCTTGTTTTGTTCGAACAAAAAACATCATTTTCATTGAAATAATATACACATCTAATCTATTTTGTATTATCCCGGTTATACAATGACGCATTCATTGTTTAAGGATTGCCATTTCCGATTTCCCTTTGATGGATACGCAGTATGAATGGTTTTAATGATGATAATTACACGGTAGTTACTAATTTACTTATGTAGATGTTTCTGATATAAAACATAGCTCATCATAATTTCATTACTGCCAAAGGTCTTGATTTATCATTATTAAGATCTGCTTGTGAAAATGTATATAACATAGCTAGTTGAAAATACTTCAGTAGTTTTCTAAAAAACAACAGAAAACCATCAACAATGAAATATTTCGTCCTTTCTGTGGTATGTCTTATCAGCGTTGTTCAGGTAAATATTCAAACCGTTAAAGAAACATTTTTACTTGAAATTTGTTTGCAAACATTTGTTAAAAGTTAAATTTTCATTTATTTTTGTAAATTTCATGTATGAATCATCGATATTTTATTATTGACGAAAACTTTTGTTATTTCAAAGCAGTTCTGAGAAATTTTAAATACAAATTTGAAGATGATTTTCTACACCAGCGAACAACATAAATATAGGAAGATTCTGAACATATTTCACCTACCAGAGTTGTATTATATAAAATATTCTGTCTAAATGATTTAAGTATGATTTATTTACAAATAATCGACCATTTTAAAAATCGTAGCAAATACTGTGTATTTTTATTTTTTACATGCATACCCATATTTTGCAGTGTCAAATTTTTTATTAAACTGGTCTATAGTAGGATCGTATTTGATGCAAAGTAGAGCAAAAAAGTGTCGGTCTTTTAGCAAAGGAAAATCGTGTCATAATTTTTTGGATGCGTAAGATGAACCATTTCAAATTTAAAATGAAATTGAATGTAAGATCTGTAATATCGCATCATACATATTGTGTTCTGGTAGTAGATATAGTCGCCCAGGTGCATCGAGTGTACGAAATGAACGGTTATACGTCAAATGCTAACCTGGCGAGCTTGGTCTGCCTCCAAAAACAAGTAAACAACAGTGGCACGTACAGAGGTAAAATGTAGTACATGTATGTGGAATTTAAAAATTGGAGTTAAAATAAATTACATTTAAAATAAATAGTTTATGAGAATAAAGGAATTTTTGTAGGAACATAAAGAAATTATTCAATTTCTAAACCCCTCAAAACCGTACTGCACTGGATCCCTTGACAGACAATGATTTATTACTTTGCATCGAATATGATCCTACTATAATATATATATTTCATGAAAATAATTCTTCACTGATCGTTTTGGTGCAAGAGTCGATTTTGTGAATAATTTATTTTTCAAAATTTGTTTCATTTATTATAACTGTATTTAATCAGTACAGGGTGGTTCACTATGTTTTGACCCCCCCTTTAACTTTTTTGATTTAAGAGTTTTAAAAAAATGTGAAATACAAAAGTTGCACAATTTTTTAAGAAGTTTTCGAAAATGATAGAAAAACTAACTTAACTTTGTTTATTTAAATTTATCACCCTGTATATTTTTACATATTTGGATAGAACGGTCCCTGTCTAGTATAGCCATATAGAGTTTGTTGGGTCCACCTCTAACAATAAGCGGGAAAAGCGAAAAGAAGGTTTTTTATTAACAAAATAGACATTTTTTAATTGTTACTCTTTCAGGCGTTTCTGCCTTTTTTCCAATTACGTAAGGATTTACAGATTTTGTTGTAATATTTTAACATATCCGACATTGATACGGTCCAAAATGCGTATAGGTATTTTAAATAAATCGCGCTAATTAGATCTTACCAGTCCTAATAATTACTCATGGACAATGTTATATGTAGGCCGTAACACTGACACGTGGTAATGTCATGATAACATTATTATTAATTGACAGTTTGTATTATTATTAAATTAAAATGGGTTACACAGATGTAGAAATATTAGGAGTTAAAATTGACTATGGAGAATATCTTAATCTACTTTAATTCCTATAATATTTCAATTTTCTATTTCTGTGTAACTCCTTTTAATAAAATAATAATACAAACTGTCAAACAATGACAATGTTGTCATAACATTACCTGTTACTGACACGGCCAACGATATAACATTGTCCGTGAGTAAGTAGACCTCTCACGGCCTAATTAGTGACATTCAATTAAAATACCTATACGCATTTGGACTATGTCAATGTGCGATATGTTAAAATATATTACAACTAAATCTAATTGTAAATCCTTACGTAATTGGACAAAAGGCAGAAATGCCTGAAAGAGGTCTAACAACTACAAAATGTTTTATTTTCTTAATAAAAAAAAACTTTTCGTTTTTTAATATTATTTCACTTATTGTTACAGATGGAGCCAACAAACTCTATATGAGTATGCTTGACATTGAATGTTCTATCCAAATATATAAAAATATACAGGGTATTCCATTTAAATTAACATTTAAACTAACATTTTGCCTGGACTTCATTTGTTTTTCTACTATCATTTTCGAAAACTTCATACAAAATCGTGCAACATTTGTATTTCACATTATTTTATATCTCTTAAAACAAAAAAGTTGATGGGGGAGCCAAAATATAATGAATCACCCAATCATAAAACATAAAAAGATTGAACTGTATTTAAATAAATCATAAAGTTCTTAATAATATTTATTAGATGTGTTTTTTATTTTGTTATTCTTATTATTGAATAACATTTAGTAAATTATTTTTATAATTAAGATATAAAATTTAAAAAATTAACAAGTAAAATAATACTTAATTTAGAAAATTTAGAGGCTCTACAAACTAACGGTTGTGCCAAGAATTATGAAAGCATTGATGCCAACATTCAACATTAATTTCATCAAAATTCATCAAGGCAGCTTATTTTGTAGAATCTATACTAGAATCCATTGCAAGTTGATATTATGTTTCATTGATTTAAAAAGTTTGCATTTTTTCAAAATATCTGTAAAATTTTACAAAAGAAAATCTAGGAGAATTAATTAGTTTAAATTTTTTTTCCGTCCAATAATTTTTCTACATATGGATACAGTACATCCTCTACCAAGTTAATACAAGCTGTATAATAAAATAAAAATTTACGATTGTTTTCATTTTAAGGGCGGCCTACTAACGGATGAGCAAAAGCAGAAGATAATGCAAATCCACGCAGAATGCCTAAAAGAGACAGGGGTAGACGAAGCTATTACTTTGCAGGCCCAAAAGGGAGAGTACGTTGACGACCCAAAATTGAAGAAACAGATCTTTTGCTTCAACAAGAAAGCCGGCTTCCAAAATGAAGCTGGTGAGCTGCAAATCGATAAAATTAAAGCTAATCTTATGGAAATGATTAAAGATAGCGAGAAAGCAGACGAGCTGATCAAGCAGTGTAATATAAAGAAGGAAAACGGAGAAGAAACTGCGTTTGCTGTTACCAAGTGTTTCCACAATCTTGCTCCAAACAAGGATTTCTTAGCCTAATAACAGAGTAACAAGTATTGTAGGTTTAAACGAATAATAAAATATAGTGGAATCTAATTAACATTTTTAGAACTATTACTTACCTGTACTTATTAAGAGTGCTTGGAAATCGGATGAGGTAATACTAGCAAAATTACGTAATGGAAAAAAAATCGGTTAATTCATAGATATTTCGACATGTTTAGCTTTAAATAAATAAATCAACACAAAACTCGCATGTATTGGGAAAAAGATTTTCTTGGCAAATATTCGATACCAATATTTAACCCTCATCAATATACCTACCTATAGCAAAGACCCAAATGATTTCTTTAGTCACTTTCTTACTGAGGCTCCACACTTGCCATGTTCGGCACTAGAACATTAACGTTCATTGGAAAGTGTTCGGTATATTTGGCTGCCTTAAAGTGGCACAATATCCAGTTTTATACTTGCATACAAGAATATCCATCATTCATTCTCTCAGAATTACAGTGATCGTTATTCGTGTACAAATCAATAAATGGGATATTTGACTTTTTAATACCTCTAATGACACAAATAATTTATTTAGCTCTGCAAATGATCGGCTTTTAAATGATATTCGAGGACTCACTGCTCAAGCGAATTAGAACATTCATTAACAAATAATATTCAGTCTATAATCTGTTTGGAAATGAAAGAGAGTAATATTTCGTTTCAGGTAATTATCGGGTAACACTAATGCTAATAAAAATGACAGGGATTGGAAAATCGACTATCTACAGAATTTTAAAGTCTCTCATCTACAGGGAGGTCAAAAGTCGTTATAGATGATTTCTTCAAAAATATCATTCGCAGAAAAGTACACTCATTTTATTTTAAAAGAGAAATACCAACGCTAAACAAATTTTTAAGTGAATTTTCAGAGGACAACGATTTGCCAAAAATCAGTAGAAGCAAATTATGGGCCGTCCTACGAGAGTTGAATTTCTGCTGGGAAAAGCAGAACAGGAAGTTAGTTCTTATCGAAAAAGATGAAATTATTTGTTGGCGAAGATCCTACTTAAGATCAATTAGAAAATTCCGTGGCGAAGGGAGAAATATTTATTATCTAGACGAAACTTGGGTCAACGAGGGATATACTGTAACAAAAGTATGGCAAGATAAAAATGTAAAAAGTTTTCGATAAGCATTTTTAGATGGACTTTCAACAGGGTTCAAGGCACCTTCAGGTAAAGGGCGAAGATTAATAGTGACACATATAGGTAGTGCCAGTGGTTTTGTAGATGGCGGTTTACTTTCATTTGAATCTAAAAATACAGGTGACTATCACGAAGACATGAACGCAGATGTTTTCGAAGAGTATTTTACACAGATGTTGGATTCCTCCGTGGTCTGTAATTGTCATGGATAATGCCAGTTACCATTCACGGCAGACCGAGCGGACGCCTACGACTGCTTGGAGGAAAGCCGATATAATTCAATGGTTATCCGGAAAAAACATTTCTTTTGAAACAAATATGGTGAAAAAGGAACTTTTGACACTTGTCAATCTTAATAAAGATCAGAAAAAATATGTTATCGATGAAATGGCAACAAATCGCCAAATAACGGTACTACGGTTACCACCTTATCACTATGAACTTAACCCAATCGAATTAGTCTGGGCGCAGGTAAAAGGAGATATAGAGCGAAATAATACGACGTTTAAATTAAGTGACGTGAAAATTTTGTTAAAAAAATCCTTGGAACGAGTAACTGCAGATAACTGGCAAAGATGTATACATCATGTACAAAAAGAAGAGGAGAAAATGTGGGAACTCGATAATTTAATTGACGTTATTGTGGAACCTATCGTTATCAATCTAGGAGACGAAGATAATTCATCAGAATATACAGAGGATGAATTTTAATATACCTACTTTTTTATTTTCTTTATTGTACATTTATACAACACTACATTTACTCACCATAATTTGAATTTTCAAAATACATATATTTTTGTGTGGAATAAAAGTCTATTCATTAAATTTAAATAAATATTTTGATAATAATATTGAATAATTTTATTTGAATTACTAAAAACCCTCTTAACCCGGTTATGATGCTTAAAGTAGCCTCATGTTTTGAAATGCTGTTTTTTTTTGTTTACTTATAAGAGAAATGGACCGAGAAATTGAAGCGGTATAGACAAAGACGGATTGTCGGGGAATAAATTTTAGCTACCTGCTACAATTTAGTACAGTCCGATCGCACAAAGTTTTTTTAAAAGTACACCTCATCTATACCGAAAAACCATAATATAAAAATATTGAATATAAGCACCAGTACAACATTTATTTACGATTTGCATACATAATAAGCTTTTATTACTCTCTTTCATTTCTAAACAGACTATAGTTGCGTTTACAAATAATGGTTTCACATAAAATCAAAGATATGTAATAGGTATGTACGGACGAAGACTTTAGCAGCAAATATTCATACATGAACTTTCGCTAACGTATGTTCGTAGAATTCACAAATATTCAAATATATACAAGGGTAGAGTGGAAAAAATAAAGAGCCTGAATAAATAATCTGATATAAAAACATATTACAAAAAGAAAAGATTAGCCAAAAAAAAAAAGAAGAAAGAGACAAAATAAGATAAACATATGGTCGCTTTTGTGATAAAGTTTTCGTAAAAGAATCTGTTTTTGTTTATATCTTCCAAGCGAAGTGATCAAATCAATTCAAATTTGGTACAGATTGAATGTGACCACATTAAAGATAATTGAGGGACGAAGATTCAGGGTATCAGTACGCAAGATATATGTCACTGAAATTTTCTCAAAAATAAAGCACTTTCTGAAAGAACTGGGTAAACTACATAAAAAATTCTCTTACCTTTTCGATTTTCTGAAGACTCACCATTTTTTAAAACCCCTTTTGATAGATAAATGGATATTTATTAGTGTTACTTACACAAAAAGTGTTTACACACGTCAAAAAGAATTATAGTAACAGTATAAAATCATTATGAAAAAAAATAATAGTAAAACATACAACACAGCACACACATGCGTACAGCAGTGTTGACACATAACTAGTTCATAATGTAAAGATCAACGAAAGTTGTAATAAAATAACAATACAGTACAAGCAATGAATGGTTGTCAAGTATGTATTAAAATAGAATGTTTGTAAAAAGATATCAAAAATAAACAAACAGTAAATAATGCATGTTAAAATAAGATTATGACCAATGTAATAAGAAAAAAAGTGAAACAATGCAACTGAAGTGTGCGAAGCTTACGTCTAAGCTAGTCATATTAGGGTGAGATCACTTTTTAAAAATTCTTGCGTAGTATAAAATGCGTGGGTTAATAGAAAGTGTTTTATTTTGCTTTTAAATAAAGTAGAGTTAAGATGACGTACTGGAGCTGGTAATGCATTAAAAAACTGGATGCCCAGATATGATGTGTCATTACCTACGCGTTTTACTTAATGAAAGTTTATGTCATTTTTGTTTCTAGTATTATGAGAATGGATTTGGCTACGGACAAGTATACAACTCTTCATTTTCTTTTACGTACAAAAGACACTAGAGTAAGTAAGTACATGGTGATGTTAAAATGTCAAGTTTCTTAAACTGTGCTCGGCAGTCATTTCTGAATTGTAAACTCGAGATTATGCGAATGGCTTTTCTTTGAGTAGCAAAAACGATATCAGCTGAAGGTGAATGACACCAAACCAGGATAGCATAGGATATTCGAAAATGCAGTAATTAACGTTTTTTAAGATACTTTGCTAATCAAAATGCGGATTAAATAGATGCCCTTGGAGATATATTGCAGAGGTAGTGGGCGTGCTTGTCCCATTGCAATTTCGGATCCAAATATATTCCCCGAAAATTTACTACATCAGGATTGTTTACATTGTCCATTTCACACAAGCTGAACATCAATTTTTCGGTCTTAGATGCGTTTAGGCATAAGTTATTTGAAGTGAACGAATGTAATGCGTCATCCTCGATTATTGGAATGTCCAAAACATTATTGGCCATGGATAAATTCGTGTCATCAGCGAACATGTCGTTTCTCACAGACGTTGGAAAATCATTTATATACAATATGAATAATAGTGGTCCCAGAACAAAACCTTGAGGTACCGCGTAATTCAAATTTAATGTTTTTGATTTATAGTTCGAAGGTTTTGGTGAGGTCAACAAACATCGAACACACATACTTACCCTCGTCAAACCCACTGTTTATAAATGAAGTCAACTTGTCTATTGCAAGTGCAGTTGACATTACTTCTGAAGAAGAACTGATTTGGACTAAAGAGATTGCTATTTTCTAGATATACAAGAAGTTGTTTTTTCAATATTGTTTCGTAAATTTTTGCAAAACAAGGGATGATCGATATAGATCTGTAATTTTATGGATCGTTGGTATCATTTTTAGATATATCATATCAAGATAGTTATAACTTTAGAGATTTTGAGACAACTAATGAAAATATTCTGGGACAGACATAAATTAAGTAACTAAGTAAGAGGAAATATTATAGTGTCTTTAATACTCACCACTATTTTTACTGAACTATCGTAAGGATCGTAACTTTTTATGTCCTTAAGATGTGTTATGACTTCATGTACCTCGTGATATGAAACAAGGGTGAAAGAAAATTTGTTGTTGAGGCTGACGTCATCGATATAACTTCTATAATGAGTTGTTGAAGGTGGCAATTTTGATATTATATTATTGGCAATGTTAGCAAAATAATTATTGAATTCGTCGCAAATAATTTGCATTATTGTATTTCTAGATACTTTTCTATGTTGGTTTATAAATTTTCACATAGCTTGTTGGGGATTTCCATGAGTCATTTGAAACTTGCTTAGATAAGTTAATTTGGTAACGATAGTGAGATGTAAATTGTTTTAGTATAACTTTATTATCAGGAGAAGGATTTCTGATATAATATTCATTTAGAAATTTCAAGTGTTCGCGCAATCTCCGATGATGAACGTTGAACCAAAAATATTTTCTACGATTTGTGGAGGTTAACAGTCGAGTTTTTATTGGAAAAAC